TTCTGTGGTTTTTATCTTTATAAATAGTATGAATCATATCTGATATGTTTATCTGTACCAATTTTGTTTATTTGTTGTTGTTTATTTGCAGCTTAAATGCACATTATTATTATTGAAAAAAAAAAAAAAAAAGCTTATGCAAAAATACTATTACTTTTACTTATCAAGTAAAGGAAAGAATCCAGAAATGGAGGGCTAACCTTAAGCAACATGACAGCTCACTGATGGAGTGCAAAGTCCTATGGCTTACCTTCTCGTTGGTGCACTTCGTTAAGTAAGTTAGACAATTTTGTCTAATTTATGAACGGAAGAGCCAAGGCAAATTATGTATAAAATTGTTTGTTGACAATACACACATAGCCTACTCTTGCAATTCGATAATTAAAATATTTTTTCAGTAAATTTACAGATATGATGTCTGCAAAGTTTTGAATGAATTTTAAAAATTGAAATTTCTGTGTTCAAATAATTTGCAACATATAGTCAAAATTGGGTACATTAATAGTGCGATAAATTATTTCGAAGAAAAAACGACTTAAGACATCTATTTCTATTAAAAAATTTAAGACAAATAGATAGATAAGATAATCCGTATAAGTATTTCTATGACTGTTAGTCTATGTTATTATGACTGTTTATTTCCATGACTGTTAATCTATGTTAATTCCATATCTGTTATTCTATGTACTCTCAATTTCCTAATACAAGAGGGAGGGGGTAATAAAAGTGTGGGTGGGGTTGAGGAGTTTAGTCAAGATTTAATAAACCGGGGGGGGGGGTCAGAATTTACACTGAAAGTTTTATTACTTATCAGTAACTAGTATATATTTTTTAATTTTTAAAGCTGATTTTCGCTGATTTTTTTTTAGTTTTTAGATATCATTTTTTTGTTAATAACAAGTAAAAATTAATAAACGGGAGGGGGGTCTTAATAAGCTTAGGGTGGGTGGCAAAGTTTCTCAAAAATTAATCAACGTCCCCCCCCCCTTCAATTATGGACTCGAGAATATACAGTGGTGGCCAAAAGTCTTGGAACAAAACATTTAACGACCTAAAGTATAAATTTTGAAGGTTTGATGCTTTTGTTTTTACATAGCAATATGGTTATAGTTACATATTTGTATATTGCGCAATTTATTATTGTTTTTTATTATTCATAGGCAATTTATCAGCTATATTATGCCAGAACTTTCACCTAAAAAAAGAGGAATTATTGCTGCATTATATGAACAAGGTTTAGTTCAAAGAGAAATATCTGAAAAGCTTGGTTGTTCTTTATCAACTGTAAGTAGAACTTTAAAAAGGCATAAAAAAGAGCCCCAATTAAATTTTACTTCAAAGATGAGATCAGGCAGGCCCAGAGCAACCACCTCAAGAACTGACAAACTTATTGGCCGGATCAGCCAATCCAAATCCACGGCTATCTGCACACGAGATTTCAAAAGAAATTTTTGTTGAGAAAAAAGTAAGTGACCGAAGAGTTAGAAGAAGGCTTTTGGTTGATTTCAAAATGAAGGCATGCAAGCCAGCAAAAAAACCTTTTTTATCATTAAAAAACCTAAAAGATCGAAAAACATTTTGTCAGCGCTACAAAAATTGGACTGGAGAAAATTTGTCTAAAGTTTATTTTTCTGATGAAACATGTATTAAACAATTTAATGTTACAAACAACTTTGTAAGAAGATATATGCCAAAATATACAGTAAGCAGTGTCAAGGTTCCTAAGTCTTGTATGGTTTGGGGTGCTATTTCTGCCAAAGGATGTGGGCCATTATGGATAACGCCTAAGAATACCACAGTAAACAGCAAAGTCTATTTGGATGTTATGAAGGAGAAGTTGCCACCCTTCATGCAGATCTTGAACTGCAATTATTTCCAACAGGATGGTGCACCATGCCACACAGCCAAAATTGTAAAGAAGTGGTTTGCTGATGAAGGAATTGAAACCCTGAAGTTGGCCTGGGTCATCACCAGATCTTAATGTTATTGAAAATTGTTGGCATATTATGAAAGTAAAAGTTGCTGCCAAAAAGCCTAGATCCTATAATGATTTAGTTGAAGCAATCAAACCAGTGTGGATCCATGAAATTACACCAGGCTATTGTACAAAACTTGTTAACAGCATGCCGAAACGTATCCAAATGGTAATTGACAATAACTATGGTTCCATTAAATATTGAACTTTTATCGTGTATGTGCATGTAACTATCATCTTTAAAATTGTTATAAACACTTATTTTATTGAAAAAAATAAAAAAATTTACTAATAAATTGTTTTTCACACAAATGTATTGATTTCATAACATAAAATATGATGTTCCAGGACTTTTGGCCACCACTGTACAATCAAATAAAGCCAAACATAATAAAATAGAACAACTCAACGAGTTTTTCATTCATTGTTTTCAAAATTTTCAAAAAAGTTAGAAGCCATAACCCCATTTAAAAAAAGTTTTTTAATATTATCGTAGGTACTGAAAACAATAAATTAGTCAAAACAGTAGACTATAAGAGTTTAAATTTCTTTTTGAATTTATAATAATACTGAAATTATTAACAAGTCGTTGACTAAAATCTTTTTTGTTTGTGTAAAAATAAATTTTAGATTTATGTTTATTTTGTACGTATTTTGACGTTTTCGGCCTGTTTTATTTGGGTCCACATTGTTCATTTGATAATTTATTAAAGAAAAATAAAATTAATTTATTTTAATAAAAATAATTTAAGTTAATATTTATCATCAAAGTTTTGTTACGCTTAACGTATTATAAATTAAAACATTTAAAAATTTATTTTGTACAAAAAAATTTAAAACATATTCAAACATATTATACTGTTAATTGACTATTTCATGGTACGTCTGCGTTAACCCACCAAAAAATTCTACTTATGAATTGTTCAATTTTGTTCAGTTTGAATTTACAATTTAATTTCTAATAAAATTTTATTATAAGCTAGTTTACACAACTTTTTACGCATGAAAAAAAAACATAAAAAAGTTTTTTTTTGGGTGCCAAAAATTTAACGAGATACTTTAAGAAAATAGTTCATAAAAAGTCTATGAATTGAAAATATTTAAAGACGTATATCTTTGGAACTAAATAAGCTACAAAGGTGGTTAAAACCATTTTGAAAATGAAATATAATAAGGTATATAATGCATATAATATATAAAATATTTACATTTGCGATAAATTTTGCCTAAACTCCCTAGTATAAAATAAAAATTTATGTGACTAGATAGTTTACTAACTATTTAGATAATACGTAACAAAAATTATAATAGATGCTAATAGTAAAAAAAATATACTAAAAATAAAATGTGTTGGGACCGCATTTTGCTATTTGCCCATCTGCTACATTATGTTTATGTTAACGACCTTCATAAAACTACGACAAATCATATTTGTATAATGTTTACGGTTAATAAAAACTTTTTTTTTTGTATATCTTTACCAATAATCATTTTAATAGCTTTTCTACAATATTTTGTTAAATTGAGATTCAATAGAAAAGCTACACAAAAAATAATGATTCATGTTTTTTTGTAGCTTGAAGATGTTTAAACTGAACTAAGGTTGTTCAGTTTTAATAAATCATAAAACACACAATAACTAAAACATATTTTAGCAACAAAAAAAAATGCACATTCATCAATTTTACCTACTTTAAGTATTGATTAGACAAAAATTGAAATAGAAAAGAGATAACTAAATTTATAGGTGTGATTTTTAACAAAAACGTCTCTAGGACAACTTGCATAAGCACCATCAACACCAAACAGAGACTTATGACTTCATCGTAAAACTTTTTTACGATGAATTTATTAGTATTGCAATGTAATTTTTTCAAGTTATTTCTAATGTAATGTATATCTTATTTAATCTTCCGTATATATAATTTCTTTAACGGTTCTTAATGATGAGACTTGACACCGTTCTCTACGAATTTCCTATAGACGCATAACCAATTTTATCATTATTCTCACAAAATAATTGAATTAGTTTTTTTATTTTATTATTATTATTGCTATTATTATTGTTGCTATTATTACTATTATTATTTTTCTTTATTAAAAAAAAAAAATTAAAAAAGATAAAAAAAAACTTATTTTTTAAATTTTACTTTTTTTTTTAATTTTTAAAAAATAATTTTATAAAATAAAAAAAAGGATAAAAAAATCCTAATTTTAATATTTTGTTAGAATAATGATAAAACTTTAATATTTTGTTAGAATAATGATAAAATTTTAATACTTTGTTAGAATAATGATAAAATTGGTTTTGCGTCAATAGGAAACTCGCAGAGAGCAGGGTTAAGTCTTATCATTGCGAACCCTTAAAGAAATTATATATCTGGAAGATTAAATAAGATGTACATTAAATTAGAAATAACCTTAAGTAATCTTGACTTAATTATTTTTTTAAGAAATAAATAGCGAATAGTTTTGTTTGGTTGTTTTTATAATTATTTTCCTAAGATTCAGAAAAATTGAATAACTAAATCAATTTTTTGCTGAATATTAGGAACTTTCACTTTTATTTAATTATTAAATTGACAAGACTTTGTCAATTTAATAATTTATTTTTTATTTAATTATTTAATAATTTGTCAATTTAATAATTTGATAATTAGGGTGCATTAAGAAACAACAACATTTCAAAATTGCCTCATGATTGTTTTAAATTTATTAATACTGGGTTGACCTGATTTTTGATAAAAATTTATTTTTATCTGTTCTCTGTATTCTTTGAATATTTTCAAGGTTACTAATATTAAAAAAAAAGAGAAGTTCTTTAAAAGTATTATAACACGCTATTTAAAAGTAGTGAAATTATATGAAAGTTTCAATAACATAAAATAACACTGGATTTGTAAAATCCAATCTTTTCTATTATATGCAATACATTTAGAACTAGTACGAGGCAATTTTAAAAATATGTTGTATTAAAATGCATCATAAAATGAATATATAAATAATTAAATTTTTAAACCGTTACCTTAAGAACTTCTTGAATAAACTTTTTCTCATCGCTGATGTTCAAACCTCGGTTTATATATTTGTTGACATGTTTTTCTTTGTGCATTAAATGTCTGAATAAAAGTAATTAAAAGCTATATATATATATATATATATATATATATATATATATATATATATATATATATATATATATATATAAAGAAATTATTGTGTAAAGTGCATGCTATATTATGCGTAACGCATTATGCTTAGGCTGTGATAAAAGGAAATAAAGGAATCTTTGCCTTTAGGAACAAGGCACAATTTTCAGCAAGTAAGAAATGAAATAATTAGAGCAAGGTGATTTAGGGAAAAAACCTCACACCCTTGTAAAGATCTCTGGTCTGTTAGTGTAACATGAGACGTCTATAACTCATTATTGTGCATTGTGTGGGTTGCAAAATGACTTTTTAAGTGTTTTAAATCTACATACACAGTTGAGCCATATAAAGATTGATTGGCAACTAATTAAAGACCACGAATGTTCAGAAAATAAGTATAAAAAGATAAGTGAGTATAAAAAGGTCATTATGAGGTGCATAACCCAGTGGGCACGGACGTAAAAAAGACGTTTTTTGAACGTCTTTTGATTGTTTTGGACGTCTTTTGAACCTTCAAAAGACGTCTTATTTAGGTCCGGTGGCCACTGGGATAAGTCAATATTTTTTAATATAGATCTATAGATCCATATAAAAAACCCTGAGCAAAAAAAGTTATTTGTGTTTATTAAGATTTCTGTAATAAAATATTAGTGTTGCAAACAAATATTTATTTTCCAATACCTGAAGAACTTTGAAGTTAGATAAAGTATTTCTTTTAATAATATATTCAGGTTTTATTTTAGCCGATAGATTTTCATATCATATATTGATATCATAATTATTGTTATTATTATTATTTTTATCAATTTTATATCAAATAATTTTTTTTTTGTGCTTAAAAACAACTGATCGATGTCGTTTTCGTTAAAGAGTTGAAGTATTAATAGCTAATCCACAAATTATAAAGTTTTCTTGGTAACAAAGAATGAAAAAATACAAAAATTACTAACAATGATTCTTTTTTGCAATTAGAAAGACGCACAATGCATTCAAACTATTTCCCCAGTGGGCACCGACGTAAAAAAGATGTCTTTTAAACGTCTTATACATGTTTTGGACGTCTTTTGAACGTTTTGGGCGTCTTTTGAACGTTCAAAAAACGTCTTTATTATTTACGGTGCCCACTGGGTCACTATGCATTTGAAGCAAAGGGTTGATAGTTTTTTAAAAACTTTAAATATTATAATTTTACTTCATTTTTATAAAAGAATAATAATTTAATTTTATGTATGTATGTATGTATGTATGTATGTATGTATATATGTATGTATGTATGTATGTATGTATGTATGTATGTATGTATGTATGTATGTATGTATGTATGTATGTATGTATGTATGTAAATATGTATGTATGTATGTATGTATGTATGTATGTATGTATGTATGTATGTATGTATGTATGTATGTATGTATGTATGTATGTATGTATGTATGTATGTATGTATGTATGTATGTATGTATGTATGTATGTATGTATGTATGTATGTATGTATGTATGTATGTATGTATGTATGTATGTATGTATGTATGTATGTAAATATGTATGTATGTATGTATGTATGTATGTATGTATGTATGTATGTATGTATGTATGTATGTATGTATGTATGTATGTATGTATGTATGTATGTATGTATGTATGTATGTATGTATGTATGTAAATATGTATGTATGTATGTATGTATGTATGTATGTATGTATGTATGTATGTATGTATGTATGTATGTATGTATGTATGTATGTATGTATGTATGTATGTATGTATGTATGTATGTATGTATGTATGTATGTATGTATGTATGTATGAATGTATGTATGTATGTATGTATGTATGAATGTATGTATGTATGTATGTATGTATGTATGTATGTATGAATGTATGTATCCGGCTTCTAACAGTTTTTTTTTTTTTTTCTGTCGAAAACAAGTTGAGCTCTAACATCTTGCTTTTTTAGAATGCATTGGCGCATTTCAAACCTGTCTAGACAAGTGTATTGATTTACGGTAGCCGCTTCTTCAATATGCATATTTACGTTAATTAACGCGAATTAACTTTACGTTTGAACAATGTGTGACGTATAACAATGTGGCATAATAACTAAAAAAAGTTTTGTTTTTTATTTAATTTAAAAAGAAAAAAGCAAAGGTAGTTTTTGGAGTTAATGAGAGTTTTTTTTATTTGGTATAGTTTTACTAAAAATAAATAACCATACTTGTGAATATAGTTTTCCAAACAATCTCTGCTTTTATTTCCGCACTAAAATGATAATTAAAAAAGCAATAATAATAGACAGGAAAAAAAAAACTAAAAAAATAAATAACTAAAATAAATAGTTATTATTAATAAAAAATAATTACAGCAAAAAAAAAAAAAAAAGAAAAATCAAGTTTATTATGAACAACATAAAAATTACGAAATAATCATAAAAAATAGGTATTAGGATTAATTAGAGTTTATTAACGTAAGGTTAGTTCAAAAATATATTAACGTAGGATTAGTTCTAAATTAAATGAGTTGATCTCACTTGCTTCAAAAATAGCTCGCAACATAAATTTGTGATATATATATATATATATATATATATATATATATATATATATATATATATATATATATATATATATATATATATATATATATATATATATATATATATATATATATATATATATATATATATATATATATATATATAGTTATACTTAATTTAAATATTTTTAAGTTAGAAATACAAGTAAATTTTTAAATATTAAACTCACTTGTGCATTGTTGCTTGAAGCATTTTTGGGAAAACGTTTTTCCGTCTGAGTTTTTATTGTCCATTTTGATTTACGACGGAGTAGATCGCCATTATTAATTAAGAAAAATGACAGGAAAACAAATTTTATTTGCATTTTTCAAAACGTTTGTCGTCGTTTTATTGCTTTTTGACAAGAAACGGTTCTGTTCTGCGAAGCGTTTCTTATTATATTCAGGCAAGTGGGTTCCAAAATATGCTCATGGTGAGACAACCAGGAGGTTTAAATTAAAAAAATAAATTTTCTGTAAAATCTAAAAACATTGATAAATGTTAGAATAGAAAATTAAAGAAAAATCATTTGATATTTTTCTATATAAAATTTTTCATTAGTTCTTAGCATCTTATAAAGATATTTTGCTAATATTTATCTTGTATTTTTATTATTAATTTCATTAGTTTTATATCAGAGACATATGATTTATAAGTTACAATATAAAATTATGTTATAATATAGTTACATTGTAATATGGTTATTCGATTACTTCATGGTGTACTGAAAAAAGCACCAGTTGTTTTATAACTATCTATTGATTTTAGTATGGTGTTGGCAGCAGACCCGCGGCGACTATTTATGACGCCCGAGGTCAAAATTTTATTAGAGCCCCACCAAGTTCAATTAATTTAAATAGAGATTCGATGGCCATTGCAAACTCTTAAAAAAGTGAGATTTTTAATCGTTCTAAATCTAAAGAACATTTAAGAAGTTTATTTCTTGCTCAAGACAAATCTCGATTATTAAAACTTTGCTATTTAATCATACACAAACTGACATAAAAATTTAAAAAAGCACCAAAATTTCTCTAACTCTCCAGTCGAATAGAGATAAATAGTCCAAGTCTCATTTTTTCGACTGAATCTAAATCTAATTTACTGACTGAAAATACAAAAAAGTTCCAACTTGCCGAATAAAGGTATAAATATCAGTTAAACGGAGAAGGGTTACATTTAGTTAAAATGTTTTCTATGTTGTGTTCTTTTATTTTTAAGTAAATTTGTATTAATTTTGATTTTTTTTGTTACTATAGAAGATCTTTTTACATAAGTACCCCACTTTTTTAAAAAATCTTTAATAAGTTACCAGATCACTTTGAATTTTTAATTGCTTATATACGCGAAAAAACCGGAAAAAATCAGATGGACGTCAGATGAAATTTGCTTAATAAAGATTTTCATTGAGAAATTTTGTTCAAAATTTATCGATTGGTTTATTTTCGTCCAAAGAGTTTTATGGATCTGAAATTGGAAACATCGGCATAAGTGCAAACTGTCTTAAGTGCGAACCAGTTGCAAAAACTGGCAAAAAAAAAATTCGAACTAGCATAAGTGCGAACTAGCATGGGTGCAAATTGGCATAAATGCGCCAAATAAATTATTTGGTGGCCACAACTTCTTAAAAAGACTTTCAACTTTTTGTCTAGGCTTACGGGAACGGGATTTTGACGGGTATGTGTTTTGGTTTCCAGACGGGTCTCATATGGTAATAAAATCAAGCATATTTGGGCTTTATCTGGTTTTTATCAGGGCCGAAGAATCTGGTGGTTTGACGGGTTTTCCATAAGGTTCCCAAAAGGTTTAAATTGATAGTTAAAAAAATCATAACAAAACTTACTCGATGGTTGCCATTAATAATTCGTATTGCGCGTGAAATAAGATTAAAAATTTAACTTTTATACATTATATTTTTTGTATACATTATATTTACATTGTAATTAAAGAGAAATTTTTTTTTGATGTATTTTTTCACTGCGAAACTCCATTAAAAAAAGACGTTGTTTTCAATTTCATTTATTTATAACCATTATAAAAGAATTTTTTTATATTTTTTTTTTAAATAAATTTACAAAGTTCAAAATATTTGTTGAACATATGTTCCAGAAACTATTAAACACGTAGTAAACATTCCATTGAGACACTGTTTGCATTTTTAAAATGATCAAAATATAATTTACATTTTGATCATTTTAAAAATACAAACAGTGTCTCGATTTAAAAGCTTTTAATTCATTAACATCAGTCATTTTGCTTGCATAAAATATAGAAAAATCAATGGAAAAGAGTGAATCTGTAAAAACAATTTAAAAGCTTTTAATTCCCTTAATATAACTTATCCATTACATTCCATTAGCCTGTTTGCTCTTTTTAAATGTTTCTGGCTAAACCAATATTTTGATTAAACTCAAACCATTTATTACAATTACTAGCAGAAACAAAACTTTATATTATAAAGTTTTGTTTCTCCTAGTGATTGTAATTAATTATTAGGTAAAAGAATTCCTAAAAATTCGCAATAAAATTAAAAAAAATACATATCTACTCTAAAAATATAACTGTTCAATAAAAATAAAAAAACAATCGCCTCTTTTTGTTGACGCCCATAGTCAGTTGCCTAATTGGCAGTAGCCTCAACTTCTTTAGAATTTTAAATTGTGAATAACATACATTTATTCGCAGTATTTATATAACTGTTTAATTTTTGAAATCCTTTTCCAGACATACTTATTGTAAAAAATCAAATGTTTTATGGTTGTCAAGGCGTCATTAGGGATAAACGTTTTTGGTACCATCTACTAAAATTAAGATCAACTTCTTTATTATTTTTGAAATCAACTTTTTTTTTAAATGCATTGGTTTGGAAATGAAATAATTATAAAATCAAAATACACAAAAATAAATTGGTCAAAAAAAAAACGCACTTATTTACAGTTTTTTTTTACTTTAAATATTGTAATTCACATTTTGCTGATTTGTTTACTTTTCTGAAATAACTCAAGCAAATGTTAAAAATATTTTTTGAACATCGAAATATTATATATATATATATATATATATATATATATATATATATATATATATATATATATATATATATATATATATATATATATATATATATATATATATATATTAATGCATATACATTTTCTATATTATTGTTTAATAAGATATATTCATTTAGTGATATAACAACGTTTTTTTTTTTCTATCTTGAATTAAATTTAGAATAATAAATATTTGAAGTCTTTTTTAATAAATTTTAATTGTAAAAAGAGTCTTAGATTCTGTTTTAAATTTCTCTAAGGAGAAGTGCTCTTTATGATTATTAAAAATTTTAATAAAATCTTTTATTGAGGGTTGTTTGTGCCCTCTTTGTCCATGTGCCTCGGTAAAATGTACCCAGTGTCCCCCTCCTCTGGGTGGTCCTGCTTATATTAGTTTTAGCAAACTTATATGGGACAACATAAGCTTTAAACTTTGTGCAACATAAGTCCCTACGTTTCTGTCTAATATAATAAAAAATTTTTTAACTATGATAATACCTAGTTATATGGATTTATTTTTTTTAACAATATTGTTTTATATAAATAGTTGTTAATGAAAAGAAATAGATATACATGAAAACATTTTATAAAACACAATAAAAAAAACATAACTTGAATTTATTTAATTTTTACTAATTTAAAGAACAGAGTTACTGTTTAGATTATCTAAATAATGATGATCTATCCATTGCTTCATCTTCAGAGTAACTACCTACATCAGCACGCTTTTCATCAATTTTCCTTTTCAATTGTTACGTCTTACCACGGTTCCTATTTTTTTTGCACAACGAAATCATCTCATTTTTTACTTTGTGATTTGTAACTTTAGCTGCTCTGAAATTGGACCGAACTACAAATATTACAACATTGTTTAGTCCCAATAAACAGACACTGTGGTCTGCTATTTCAAGACGTTTTTACATCAGTGTCTACTAATCCAAGCAAAAAATAAAGTTTTAAAATATTTTAGCATCTTGTGATGTATTTGTGGAGGTCGAGTTAAATAGTTTAATCTAAAGGGGTTACCATTTTTAAAATCGTAAATTACTATTTTTAAAATCGTAATATTCAAATTTGGTAATTAAATCTATCGTCTCAGCTCATGTCGCTAACATGTTGTAGCTTACTTGAGATCTATTGCTGTTAGAGCGTACTTTCAACATTGCTAACATTGCATTTAGGATTGCATTGTTTTAATTCTGTACATAGCTGCTTTATCTCATCAGTTTGCTCGACTATCAATTTCAACTTATGTTTGCTAATACCTACAAAATATTTTGAAAAAATTACTTTAACATTAATTGTTCAAGGCATGGCTTAAATTACAAAAAGAGCATAGTTTTTATAAAGTTATGTTCAAATTTCTTGAGTTCTTTGTTAAGATTAGTGTTTGCATAATATAGGTTTATCTTATCTTATTAAAATGATTAAACAACATTTAGATTTTATTTGAGTCATTACATTATGTTTTGCTGGATTTTTTGCTAACTGATTACCTGTTTCAGTTTATTCCAATAACATAGAAAGCTGAAATAGGCTTTCAGATAGTTATATATCACGTGCTACTAGAAATAACTTTACATTTTTCTAAGACTACTTTCAACTTTCCATTGGAAATAAATTCAAAGTTTTTTTAATTTTGAATTTATTATAAGTTGAATTATTAGAAATAAAAATAAAGTTTTTTCTTCGGAATATTTTTTTATGTTTTGCAATGTAAATACTCTATTATGCTTCATTTTTCAAACATATAGCAATTAAAATGCAACAAATCAGGCTACTTAATTTTAGTAGGCCAAGAAACATCAGGCATACCAAATCTATTTAAGTCATTTGTTGCTAATAAAATTCCTAACTTTTAATCATATTTCTTTACCTGAATGATTTGACAGCGGTGAAATTTATGGATTAACAAATTGTAGTATGGAAGAGGAATCATTCAAAAATGTTGTGTATCAAGTGATTGCTTGCTGAGATAAACTATATTCTCAAATCCATGGTTTGTAATTTTTATTTATTTTAATTGAAAATAAAAGAAATGAGAAAATAACTTTTTACTAGGAATATTTATTAGGGTCTTTTTAAAAATTCTTTTACTTGATTCTTCCTTACTGAATATGTTATTCGTTTTGCAAATAATTATAAAAGTTATTTATAACAATACAAGATATAATAGCAACGTTTGACTAGAAATAATATCTAGAATGCTAAAAAGATGACAATTAAAACCACACAAGTGGTTGATTCGGATGTATAAATAATGTTCTAATTAAAACTTTCAGGTATTTATTACAAATAATATGTTTTTATTAATAACAAGTTTAACATCCAAATCTTTGT